CAGGAGTCTAGGTCAGTGGTTCCCAAGGTGTGGTAGGGACCAGCAGGTTCAGTATCAGCTGAGAATTTGTTATAAAGGCATATTCTTGATCCTCACCTCAGACCTCCTGAATGAGAAACTCCGGGGCTGGGGCCTTGAAAACTGTGTTTTAACATGTCCTGCAAGTAATTCTTGCTAATGCTTGAGAGAGTGGTGGAGCCAGACTTTAAATCCAGATATTAGACATCAGAGCCCATCAAAGCCCTTGTGCTTAATTACTTAATTGTACTTCCTCCCTATTATACTAAGAAGAAAACCAGTAATAGGTGATTTCTACTTAAAAACTGGTCATAAAAGAGATAGTAGTCCAGGGCAATTTCACTCTATTCCCTTTGTCTTCCAGTGCTTGACCAAGTAACTTTAAGTATTAAATTTACCACTAGAGGGAGTCCCGACATTCCTCAAATGCTGAACCTTTTAAGAGCATGTAAATAAATACACACTCAATCTTTTGCTGGAAAAAAAAAATTTGATTTATATATATCATCGTTAAAACAATTTGTTTAAGCTACTTAACATGGAACAGCTGCATCTGGAGTTATATTGTTAGGCACAAATCTACTTTTAACAAATAAATACAATATACCATGATTGGTCACTTAACATGTTTCTTATTTCTAAAACAGAACTGGAGAAGGGAAGGAGGAAACTCCAATTAGCAAAATAACAATATACTTTAAATAAAAATAATCTAGTTTAAACTACATCATCATCTCTAAATTGCTGATGAAATAAGACTGGAAAAAGAATTCAACAAAATTAGCCAGTTGCCTCTATAGTGTCTCCTTCCACATTGCTCTGAGAAATGAGTTCAGAAATGTTAAATTCAGCACCTAGTACGTGGCAAGTTCTCAGCAAGTAATGCTGAATAAATACGTAAATAAAGCTAATGCAACTCTCTGCCTCCACTAGACCCCCCTTAAAACATGCTAAATAAATTGGAGTTCATTCAATGTTATACAAAATAATACTATGCTGTTTTCACAATAAATAAATATCACATAGTAGTTCAGAAAAGTCAGACCTTATAATGCTTCTAACCTGGAACAACAATTTCCAGAGATTTTGAAATGCTATAATCAGTGATAGATGGATCCTATGACACACACTCTCCTTCTTCCAAATATGGAATGACATTCAAATGTTTCAATGTGTTTACGATCTTTGCAAAAAATAAAAATCACTTTTTTGTATTTTATTTAATTTTCTATTTCAATAGGTGTTTGGGGAACAGGCAGTGTTTGGTTACATGAATAAGTTCTTTAGTGGTAATTTCTAAGATTCTGGTGCACCCATCATCTGAGCAATGTACACTGTGCCCAATGTGTAGTCTTTTATTCCTCGCCTCCCCCTCCCAATTTTTCCCCCGAGTCCCCAAAGTCCATTGTATCATTATTATGCTTTTGTGACCTCATAGCTTAGCTCCTACATGTGAGTGAGAACATCTGATGTTTGGATTTCTATTGCTGAGTTACTTCACTTAGAATAATGGTCTCCAATTCCATCCAGGTTGCTGCAAATGCCATTATTTTGTTCCTTTCTATGGCTAAGTATAATTCACTCATATTCCATGGTATATATACACATTTTCTTTATCCACTCATTGACTGATGGACATTTGGGCTGGTTCCATATTTTTGCAATTGTGAATTGTGCTGCTATAAACATGCATGTTCAAGTATCTTTTTTGTATAATGACTTCTTTTCCTCTGGGTAGATAACCAGGAGTGGGATTGCTGAATCAAGTGGTAGATCTACCTCTAGTTCTTTAAGGAACCTCCACACTGTTTTCCACAGTGGTTGTACTAGTTTACATTCCCATCAGCAGTGTAAAAGTGTTCTCTCTTCACCACATCCACGCCAACATCTATTATTTTTCGATTTTTTGTATTATGGCCATTCTTGCAGGAGTAAGGTGGTATTGCATTGTGGCTTTGATTTGCAAAAAAAATAAAATAAAAATAAATCACTTTTAAGAGAGAAAGAGATCCTGGTACTCTGGAAAAAACACTGAAGAAAGAAGACAAAGATTCAGTTCCAGCTCTTCTGCTATCTAATCTCACAACCCTGGCCAAGGTACTTGTCCTCCCAGGCCCCCAGCTCCTCTTTGATGAGATAATGTGTCCCTGGAAAAAGTGTAGCCTGTAAGAAAGAGCATGCCTCCAAGTAGTAAAAAGACTTGAGAACAATTGTGTTAATGCATGTTTTTTAGGTATCTGCTGACAGAAGAGTAAGATCAACAGCCCATATCTCAGGAGGAAGTTTCCTTGAGCACTTTCATTTCCATATATTGAGTGCAGATTGAAGAGGGATAATTCAATATGCGTCTGTTCAACAATTATGACACCATTTACCAAGCATTTGCTAATACCTTTAAGAGTTACACAATAGACCTCCTACCTGAGGTCAGGAGCTTCTCACCAGCCTGACCAACATGGAGAAACCCATCTCCACTAAAAATACAAAATTAGCCGGGCATGGTGGCACATGCCTGTAATCCCAGCTACTCAGGGGGCTGAGGCAGGAGAATTGCTTGAACCCAGGAGAAGGACGTTGCAGTGAGCTGAGATTGCATCATTGCACTCCAACCTGGGCAACAAGAGTGAAACTCCATCTCAAAAAAAAAAAAAAAAAAGCTACACAATAAATAACTTGCTTTAACACATCAATAGCTTCACATTGATACACAGACAATGACTGTGATGGTTAATTTTCTGTGTGATTATGATTGAGCCACAGGTGCCCAGGCATTCCACCAAACATAATTCTGCATGTGTCTGTGAGGGTGTTTATGGATGACACTAACATTTACATAAAGGAGAGTGCCCTCCCTAATGTGGGCAGGCCTCATCCAGTCAATCGAAGGCCTGAATAGGAAAAAGTCTCGGTAGGAGGAAACAGCTCCCACCAGACTGCTTGATGACAGACTGCTACTTGTCATCTTTTCTAGCCTTCCCTGTAGGACTCAGTCACCTGTTCTCCTTGGGTCTCCACCCTGCTTGCTTTCAGATGGGAAATAAACCATCAGCTCTTCTGGTTCTCCAGCCTTTGGACTTGAACTGAAATGACATATTGGCTCCCCTGGGTCTCCAGCTTGTGAACTGCAGATTTGGGGACTTCTCAGCCTCCATAATTATTTGGGGACTTCTCAGCCTCCATAATCACTCAAGTAATTATGGAGTAATTATATATATTATATAATTGTATATTATATTACACAATGTAATTTTATTGTATAATAAAATTATACAATATATTATATATTATTATATTATATCATATTATATTTACAAACACAGACTATTGGTTCTGTTTCTCTAAAGAACCTTGACTAATACAAGAACCAATCTCTAAATTCCTTAGCATGGCCAAAACGCCCTATACGACCTGGTCCCCAACTACCCCTCCAACTAAATCTCAGACAGAACATGATGCCACCTCCTCCACTCCACCCTGATCAGCTTTCTTCCATGTCCTCACACATACTGTGTTCCCTGTCATGGAGTTTTCACTCATTTATGTATTTATTCTTTGATAAACTCAACTAATTATTGAATTTCTACTATGAGTCAAGCACTGGGGTGGTACTGGGAATATAAAGTGAACAGGTAACAACATGGCTAGTTTCATGGAGAATATATTCTAGTCACAGAAGACAGAAATAGATCTATGGCCATACCTAAACATGCCTGATCTTGGAAGCTAAGTGGGGTCCAACCTGGTTAGTACATGGATGGGAGAAGACAGAAATAGCATGTAAATAAATAGGTTAGGTTCAGGACGTGACATGTGCTTCAAAGGAAACAAAACAGGGTGATAGAATCATTTGATGATCAGAGAAAGCCCCACTCATAGGTGCTTTTTAAGCATCATTTTATACGAAGCGGCCATCTATGTGAAGACTTGAAGAAGGAGCATTCCAGGCAGAGAGAATTACAAACACAGAACTAACTCTGAGATAAGTTTATCTATAGATAGACACAGAGAGAGAAGCTTATATATATATGTGTATATATATGTGTATATATATGTATGTGTATATATACACACATATATATGTGTGCGTGTGTAGATATATATATACATATATATGACATGTGTCTATAGGACAGTGGGGCAGCAAGAGAAGGTAGATGGGTAAACAGAAATGAGATAAAGCCTTAACAGCCAGAATAGGGTTTAAATTTTTATTTGAAGCACACTGAGAGGCTTTGGAGGGTTGACATCATCTGATTTACACGTTTGATTTCACACTGCAATGTTTAACAGTGGACATGGGGAGACTAGTAAGGGAGGATTGCAGTAAGGATGACTGGTGGTCGTAGCTTGGATTATGGGGATGGAGAAAAAAATGAAGAAGGAATGATTCAGGATATGTTTTGGAGATGGAACAGATAGGAATTGCCCATGTGGCTGGAGAAAAGAAAGGGTAACTCCTAGGTTTTCGACTTAACAATCAGCTGGACAATAGTACCATTTTCTGAGATATGAAATTCTGGGTAGGGATGGGATGGGGCTGGGAGAGGCAAGCGGGCAAACTGCCCATACTGTCCTTCTCTTGGGACTGTTTTTCATTCCCTCTTCACCTAGTTGACTCCTTCCTATCTGGATCTCAGCTCAAATGTCACTTTCTCAATGAAGTCCTTCCCTGACAAGTTCAAACTAAAGCTCTATATTAAGTATACGCTCAATTGCTGCCATGTAGTTTCCCCTAATAGTAGCCTGGAAAAGTAGCCACCAATTCCTCTAGCCACCACACCATCCATAGCATTTCCACTTCCCTCTTACTCTGATCCCGCCAGTCTAGGCCACGTGGCTTGCATCTGCCAATAGGGTATCAGCAAACATAACACAGGCAGAGACTTGAAAGGCACTTGGGCAGTTGACTTGTCCTGCTCCACTGTTTTGGAACTCTGAAAACATGGAAAGAATCTTGACTGACGTGCTAGACAATGAGAAACATGTGGCCCCTGCTGACGACCTGCCAATGCCATGACACAGGAGTCAGTCCCCCTAGATCATCCACCCGCCAGCTGACCAGAAAGGTGAGTAAGAGCCCTGCTGAGCAGAACCAAGGTAAAAGAACCACCCAGCCCACTCAGAATCCCAAGCTAGCCAAACAATCGTAAAAAGTCACTAAGTTTTGTGGTGATTTGTTACACCGCAGAAGTGGATACAGAAGCACATACCTCAGTGGCAATTTTACACATCTTTGTTTGATTAGCTTCTATCCCTGCCACATGACTGTGAGCTCTCTAAAAGCATAGACTATTCTGATCTTAGGTTACTGTGCCAACCTCAAAGCCGAGCATAATACCTGGAACACACCAGGCATCCAACCAATAACATGCTGAGTGAAGGCAAGGAGCAAGGAGAGGTACACATTGTAACACAAGCGAATAGGGGAAGTTGAAAACAAAGGACGGCGGACATCTATTTGTCCAAAATAAAAACTTTTAATCAGCAGCACACGGCAGTGAGGAATACGAGACCAAAATCACATTTCCTCTGTCTCAAAGGGCTCAAAGTCTAGAGTATAGGTGACAGTACAAAATCAACAAAGTGTACTGTTTTAGCATTCCAACACTTTGCACTTCGCTCCTCCAGACAGTATTAGGGCCCCGTCCCAAAGCGTTAGGACCAGGCCCTAACGTTGCCTGAAAAAGCGAAGTGTGGGAGGATCCCAGAGAGGTTTCTCGAAGCAGATAAAGTCTGAATTGAGGCTCACGCCTGTAATCCCAGCACTTTGGGAGGCTGAAGGGGGGCAGATCACTTGAAGCCAAGAGTTCAAGACCAGCCTGGCTAACATGGCGCAACCCCGTATCTACCAAAAATACAAAAAATTAGGCCAGCATAGTGGTGCACGCCTGTAATCCCAGCTATTCGGGAGGCTGAGGCAGCAGAATCGCTTGAACCCAGGAGGTGGAGGTTCCAGTGAGCCAAGATTGTGCCACTACACTCCAGTCTGGGCAACAGAGCGAAACTCCATCTCAAAAATATATATAAATAAATAAAGTCTGAATGGAGTCCTTGCAGTGTTTACTGGGAAAAGCAGCACACGAGAAGGCCGGGAGGGTCAAAAGGACAGAGGCGTTCAAAGGACAAAGGAGAGCGTCCTGTTTGTTTGGGGTTTTAGTCTTTTTGAATTTTTGTTGCCCCAGGCCAACCCTGAGAGCCAGAACTGTTCGTTATTTATCTCAACACAGGTTCGGTGTAAGCGTTGCCTCCTCATCCGACGCTCAGGCCCTTCAGGTCCGGGACCCCTGCTTCTTAATTATGTTTCTGTTATTCCCAGTGTCTAACACAATCTCTTCCGCGAAGTCGGAACTTGATACGTATTTGCTGAATAAATGAAAAGTTAAAGGTGAGGCAGTAAGCACCGCTCCTTCCAAGGGCAGCTCTCAAGAGCCCACGTTTTCAGATTAAACAGCGAAGTGGACGCGTCTGGTACGAGACTACAAGTCGCACAGGCGGAGACGGGGCCCCCGGGCCTCTGGTTTCACGTCTCCCTCCTAGTTCCCGGCGGACCGGCGTCTTTTCTCCCCTGCTCGGAAGAGGCTGGGTGTGTGGTAAGCGCGGCTGTTAGAGAGGATGGAGGAGCCGCAGCCCCGCGGTGCTTCCCACAGGCTTCGCCGGCAGGGACGCGCGGGACGACCGCG